GAAAATGTAAATTCCTTGGGAGTTGGAGGCAGGTCTGACCAGGGCGGGGTCCCACAGCAGGCGTTGCAGAGCCAGCCTGGGCTGAGACCCAAGTCCCCTCCGCACCTTCTTTCCCGCGCCCCCCTCCATTCCTGCAGCAATACGAGAACTGGCGGGAGAATCAGCCGGACAATTTCTTTGCGGGTGGAGAGGACTGCGTGGTGATGGTGGCCCACGTGCGCGGCCGCTGGAACGACGTCCCCTGCAACTACAACCTCCCCTATGTCTGCAAGAAGGGAACAGGTAATGCCACACCCCCTCCCTTCCTGCACCTCGGGCTACTGGTTCTCTGATTGGATACTGAGAAATCTCACTATTATCTTGTTTGCTTGCTTGTTTTCTTGCTATAGGGGACATGCACTCCCTAGAAAGAGAGCGAGTGGGAGAGAGAGCGAGTGGGGGCGGTGGGGGAGTGAGAAATCACCCCATGGGGAGGATGACCATGCTGCAATCCCTTGTCTCCATTCTCGTCCTGGGATTTTAGGCATACGCGCACATGCAACCAGAGTGATTTTTCTTTCTTTTTCTTTTTAAATTTATTAATGTATTAATTAATTTATTTATATTTGGAGAAGTTTTTGCTATAGGGTGCATGCGCTCGCCAGAAAGACAGAGAGAGAGACAGAGAGACACAAAACGAGAAATCACCCCCCAGGGGGGATGGCCACGCCGCAATCCCCTCTCCTCCATTCTCCTCTCGGGATCTTGGGCACTCACGCACACGCGCCCGGCGTGAGTTTAAGCCACTGGGTCCGGGACTCGAACCACAGTCGACTACATGGGAGTCCAGCGACGTAGCCATTACACCAACTGCTGGTCCCCCCAGAGTGATTTTCAAGATGCGATCAGCCATATTTGATCCAACACCTTAACCATCACACCACTGGCCCACATACATTTTTTATTTATTTATTTATATATTTTTTAATAATTATTTTTTTATTTTAGTTTGTTATTAGTGTTTTTAATTTGTTTGTTTGCTTTTAATTTAACCAGAGAAGTGGAGAGAGATAAACGGAAAGAGGGAAAGCAAGCTGCCAGGTTTGGGACTTGAACCACAGTCAGCCATGTGGGCATCTAGTGCCTTAACCAGCATACCCCCTGCTGGTCATAGGGCATGTATGCTCACTGGAGAGGGACAGAGAGAGGGAAAGTGAGTAATCACTTCCGGGTAGAGGGTGGGGGAGGGCATGCCACAATTGCCTCCATTCTCCTCCTAGGATTTTGGGCATGCATACCCATGTGTCCAGAGTGATTTTTCAAGCCACCAGGTCTGGGACTTGAACCACTGTCACCTATGTGAGTGTTCAGTATCTTAACCACCACACCACTTGCTGGCCCTGGCCCTCATATATCTTTAAAGATGAGAATTACCAACTCTTTATATAGGACAAACTATTTGTGTATATTTAGGAAACCTGCCAGTTCAGCTGCTTTGCTCAATTTTCTCTTGGCTTGTTGATCTTACTGATTTTTTTTTTGGAGAGGTTTTTTGCTATAGGGCACATGCACTCGCCAGACAGACAGAGACAGACAGAGAGACAGAAAGCGAGAA